AACACACTGAACTTGTCGGTCCTTACTGTTGTAACAAAGAGTACGCATAGAGCTAGTCTGTATGGAGTCTTTCTCTCTGGTGCTGGGAAGCCACAGCCATAAACACTGGCTGATTATCCCGTGGCAAGAAACTGTGGAGGCAGCAGGGCTAATGCAGCAGAATAGCAACTGTCAATAATCAAATACAAGGCCAGGCTTTAAAAAAAGATCTCACACATCCTACATTTAGCATCAATCAATCCGGCCTTACTGGTGGGTATCAGAAAAGAAAAGACACCTATTGATCAAAGAAAAAGATAGAATCTGCTCTAAGGACTTGCAGTCCAAGGAAGAATGAGAAAGACCGTGAACACCAGTCACTTAGGAGACAATTAAACCAAAAATAACTTAGCTTTAATCTGATACAGGGACTGTCACTGTACCAACACCAACACCAACACGTTTGAAAGAGAGTAGCACAGAAGCTGCAGAAAAACAAGCTTCCAAACTCAAAGATAAAAGAGTGATGTTTTGGTTTCTCATCTGCTAACTTTCAAATAAATGATTCAGTTTTACTGCAACATATTCAATTACAAGGATGTTTAACCCGCAAAGTGGGCTTTTACACAAGGCTGTTTACATTGCGGCATATTTCCATAAAAAAAAAACACTGCCAATAAAATTCCCAACAGTCTACACAGATATTTGTCCTTCATAGGCCAAAAATGTGAGTGTATTTTGTCCTTCATAGGCTGTGAATGTGTGCCCTAAAATAATCTGCAACCTCATGAAGACTGAGGCAATCAGTCCCAATCTTCCCACTGTGACAGGTCATTACAATGTTTGGCTACTCGCCCAATAACGTGCCACTTGTTCCCCTTGTCACCAAAGGGACGTGCCGCCACACTATTCTAAAGATGAATGACCTTGTGATAATAAGGGCTCTAATAATAAAAGCGGGGACATTAGCTCAATATTAACCCTATTCAAGTGGTGTTGGGACTGAGATTTAGTCAAACTGATTAAAAACTGAGTTTCATTTAAAAAATAAAAGCTTAAATCATTTTGATGGGATAAAACTCAATTCAGCAGAAGCACATTAATATTGCAATGAGAAAAAGACACCTTTGTAATTTCACATTTACACATTATTGTATAAGACAGAAACAATACCCTAAGGGATATAGCTGCATATAAAGTGGCTGAGGTAACTCAAACTCATAAACGATCACTTTATGGATGCTGTGCCAAGCGCTTCAGCTGTGATTATCTGATGTCTGCCATGCAAATGGAAATCTACAACTCTTCAAGTTGAGTTAAAAGAACAAAACAGAATAAAAACAAAGCAGTTTACATTTAGTGCGTACAGTATCTGCTCATCAAACAAGTCAGAAGTAGCAGCTCCTTGCTCTCCATGTGCGACATCATTTCTGGTTGTGCTTAATAAAAACGGTCTAACAGGCAGGATATGTAGTGCATGTATTTAGGATAACTTTCTAAGGTGTGAAATTGGATTTGGCACTGAAGGAGCAAGGAGAGATAGTAAGAGCAACAGCAAAAGAAAGTCAGTGCTACAGTAGGCAACAAGTCTATAATGTTATCTCTGTACGGCACACTCCACACAGAAGAAACAAATACATTGATATGGGCTACTGATTTTAAAAACTGGATTAGAATAAACATACAATATTAATGTAATCCTACGATACGTTTCAATGCTTATAAGGCCCTTTGTTTTTTGTATATTACAGAATTCTCAGTCATATTTCTTTCTTGTTCTTGTTTCATCCTTTTCAGCACCAACACCATGCCATAACAAAGCCAGCTTAGCTGTCATTCTAAAAAGGAACGATTATTTATTTCCCTTTATCATTTAATTGCAGGAATTATCCAGACGCGAGATTTGATTATTATTAACACAATTCTTCGTCCCTTTCACTCCTACTCTCTTTCATTCAACTGTAATGACGGTGAGGAGAATTGGCTGACATTAACGTGTATTCAGCCCATATCAAATCAGTTTCTCACCACCCTAAGGGCTTAATAGAAGACAATAACTGAATTATGACATGAACGCTGGCCAATTGCTCACAATTCTGGCTGGAGATAAACACAATGACATACTGTATAGGCAACTCGCTCATTTTCTTTTTACAAGTGTACCGTTTCTTAAAAGACATAAGGAAAAACCATATGGAGTTAAATAACGAATGACACTGACTGTGTTAAAAAAAAAAATAATAATCCTTCCCTTTTTCAGTTAACTACTAAATGGTTGTCTTGTTGATCCTTGTCTGTGTGGCAGAGTAAAGAGACAGGTATAAATGGTGTCTGTAAGTGTTGGTTAACATCTCTCTTCCTCTCTACGTGTGTATCTTTCTTTCTCTTTCAAACTGATAATGATCCATCTCACCACACAGTTCCCACCATAATACATTCAATCCATTACTTAGAAGCACACCTGTGATGAAATGAAGGACAACTGTGCTGCGCTGGCTAATGCAATGCTCAGCCAAGCGCACACACACAGGCAGGGCAGCCACAGGACTATTTATCATACTGCAGGATTTAGCAAGATCTAGAATTAACAGATGAAGAGCTACATGCTGCTTTCAAATCCTGGGATTTATTCAGAATGCACAAGTTTTTTTAATGCAAGTTATTATTAATAATAATAATAAGAAGAAGAAGTAATGATATTTATATAGCGCCTTTCAAGGGACCCAAGGTCGCTGTACATGGTGGACAAACAAAACAAACAGACAATCAAAGGGCAAACAAAAAAGAAAGGAAGCCGGGGGACCAAGAAAGGGCTAGGGCCCGAAGGCCAGGGTGAACAGGTGTGTTTTTAATGATGATTTGAAGATGTCCAGTGAGGCAGCATTACGGATCTCGGCAGGAAGTGCATTCCAGAGGGTGTGGGCCGCAACGGAGGCGAGAGCGGGGGATGGAGAGCAGCTCCGAGAAGGGGTGTAGGGATGGAGGAGGTCCGATAAGTACTGGGGGGCGAGGGTATGGAGGGACTTGTACGTGAGGAGGAGTGTTTTGTACTGAATCTGGGACTTGACCGGCAGCCAGTGTAGGTGGATGAGGGTGGGGGTGATATGTTGCCATGGCTTGGTGCGGGTGAGAAGCCTGGCGGCAGAGTTCTGGACGTATTGGAGCCTGTCCAGGGTTTTGCTGAATAAGTCTGCTGTGTGTATGTGTGTGTATATGTATGTGTATGTGTATGTGTGTGTGTGTGTGTGTGTGTGTGTGTGTGTGTGTGTGTGTGTGTGTGACTTTGAGCCACATACCAGGTAATTGCTGGAAGGCTTAAAGCTGTCCCAATGTCAAATCGTCAAGGGCTTGAACGCCCTGTTTCGGACATATTTGTCGTTTTTTTGCAACCTTTCAGTTAAACTGACTGTTAAGCTTCTCATATTAAATCACACAGAGAAACACTACATTAGAAGCGATATTGGGTATATGTACATAGGTACACACACATTGGCTTATATAGATATATAGATATATAGAGTCAGGCTGTTTCAAACACCAAGTTTAAATATTGACCCAGCATTTAAATGTTGCTTATGAGGTTTTTTAACAAAAAACAAATACATTTATTTTGTTGACATTAACCTCTTGTCCACTCTCTTAAACAAGTGCCTGGAAGAGGTTCAAATAAAACCAAAAAATCCAGAGTGGTAAGTAAGCAGTGGTGTGCATTTTCTAATAACACCATTTTTTGGCCTTGCTTCCTCTCACACCCAAGCACTTACTGTACGAGGTGACGTCGATGAAGTTTGAGTTGGAAGATGGGGAACGAGCAAATGCGCTGGAGGTAAGGGGGTAGGAAGTGGGGAAAGAGTTTGTTGCCCCCCCCCAAATTACACCCCTGACCCGATTTGGCGTTGCATCTGGTGTGATCAAATCACAAAATGCTCTGTCGTTCGTTTTTCAAATTGAATTGACATATTAACTAAGTTTCACTCCGTGGTTAACATGTTTTGTAAGCAGTGCTGTGTGATAGTGATGTTGACATAAGCAAGCTTCGACACTGCCGTGTAATTTACTTTAAAACAGCTGAGGACAGTAAAAAAAAACAGACTACATCAGGAATAAAGAAGACAAACTTGACTTTTTTAAACATCTTAAAAGCTCACCTTGGCTTGCCTTTTTGTTGACGTGATGAGTTATTAAATCAAACAGCCTGGTTGTAAAGGCTAGAGAAAGCTTTGCAACAATAATCAATAGAGGCTTTTGTTGTTAGGGATGTTTCCCATTTCCCTCTACTTTGCTTACTTTATTGTAAGATGTCTTCAACAACATCAAAGCAAGCAATTAGACCTCTGATTACATCATGGAACAAAATCTGCAGGGCACTCACACAATGCACATGTTTTAAAAGTTTCTGGTGCTTGTGACACACACATTGGCTTATACCTTACATTTGCAATAGCCATTACCCTTGTGCCTACTTTCATAGTGTTAGAGGCTTAAGAGTTCAGAAAGTCCGTTTAAGGATAGAGCATAAATTGTACCGGGCTGGAGAACAATGGGTCTGTTCTAACGTAAAATATTATCTCATAGGCAGCAAAAACCTTTTGACACTAACCTTTGTTAAGAGCATGCTCAACAAAAGAAAGCCAGTTCAGCATTTCTTTTCTCTTCCAAACCCACTACGATTTTGCTGAACTCGTCCTTTCCACAGTGATTTACTTCCTACCAGCTGTTTGACATTTATTCACTGCTCAAGGTCAACATTTGTGTTTTTTTTTTGTTTTTTTATCAAATCGAACAGACACATCCTTCATTTCATTTCATTTCAAACCTTTATTTAACCAGATTGGTCCCATTGAGATCATAGATCTCTTTTTCAAGGGAGACCTGCAAAAAAGTCCTACTTCATGGAAATGTTAAAAGGATATAGGATTTCCAAATCCTTACAAACTCTATTGTTTTGTTTATTTACTGAAAATGTAAGTGTGTGCATTGGTGTTTTTTTTAAGGCAAGAGGAGGCAGGGATCCGACTTACTGTGTTGGCAATGCACTCCACTGAAGCCTGGTGGACACTTGCAGAAATAACCAATGAAAGTGTCCCCCCTGTAGGTCTCACTGATCTCACATGTTCCTCTGTTGTGGCACGGGTTTGGATGGCAAGGGCCTGCATGGGAAAAGAGATAGAAAACAATGTTAGAAGTCTATTTGTTTCCAATATAAAATTGTTTTAAAGCCAGGAGACACTGATAATGAGCTCCATCTTTAACTTTGCACTGCATACAAGTACACATTGCTCTAGGTAACATATTGACGCTGGTGTAGCAAACAGTTTTTCAGTGTCTGCATGAATAAAAATGAGCATTACCATGCCAACAGTGACAGAAAGTTCCTCCAAAACCTTCAGCCAAAGTTTAAAAACAAACTAAACTAATCAAAAGTGTATATTGCCTGTGTGCTTGAAGTTTAAATGCATAAACGACACTGAGTTGGACCTTGAGAGACAGCGTATAAGTAAGTTCGTCAGTCAAAACTGAGGACGACAGGAGAGCGGGGGAGGCTGGCTTTCAGCGACTGCTGCTGGTCTCTGTGGCTTGGAGGGAAAAAAATCATTGAATATGTCGCCTCATGGGAGGCAGCACTTCACCCTTGCAGCGCTAAGTGGAGAGCTCAGAAAAATCTGCAAGGTAAAGCACTATTATCAGGGGTGCACTTTCTTAGTGAGTTACTCAAATGAGTACCAGGAGACAATGTTTTGGGGGGGGGGGGGGTGCCGGAGCACGCGCGTGTAACTCGCGCCGGAAGTTGTGGCACAATTCCGTTGTACACACCGACGTTAACAGCAGCCCCGTCTGTGCGCACGGCGACCGGCTCTGTCGTCCAGTGGAAATGCTTCTCAAGTCCGCCGAAACGCAGATGCGCTTAGTGAGACAAGTGACGGTACGCATTTCAGATGTTTTCCGCAAATGCGTATCTGTTATGTGCACCCCTGACTACATGCAGAGAGAAGCATGCACGCCTCCACACATACACATACACACACACACACACACACACACACACACACACACACACACACACACACACACACACAGTCCACACAAGAGATTGCAGAGGAGTGAATTGCTACTGACTTTGACTACTGAAAATAATAATTGTCTTTTCAAAAATGAAGACTGCAAGGATTGCTTTCACTTGCATGAATGATCAGTTTTTGCACATTTTATTTTTATTTAGAAATTGTTGTGTTGCTTTCTTTGCTTTGCTACTGATAATGTGAACTAAATATGTCCACATTACTTTAAACACTTACCTATTTTGTAAAGTGCTACTACTGCAAATCAAAGGTTGTGTATGCTGAACGCTGTGCATGGGTCAGTATAGCTCAGTGATGAAAAGGCTCTTATGCGCATAGCATTAATTTGCAATGGAATTTATATTCATAGCGACTGAGCACATGTATTCTTGCTGTGTATGCAGTATCCCATTCATCATGACCATTGTTTTCTCTTTAATATCTGGGTGTAGTGAACACGGTGAAGTGAATCCATTCATTGGGGATTAAGCAAACTAAATAATTTCCATAAAATAAACACTGTTTGTTCCCATAATGTCATCTCTTTGGGACAAATGGTAAAGACCACAGCTTTGAATGAGTTATTACAACCAAATGTAAATGAGACAGCAATATATGACTTTAGGGCAATGGCCACAACATGGTGCCCTATGACTGCCATCTAAGATCTTTCTTGGACTAACCTGCCGCCTGGGGCCAAATGCAAATGACGAGGCCTTGACGCAGGGTTATTGGTTTCATAACTCAAGGGCCTGCCAATAGCTGTCTCATCTTTTAAACATAGAGTTGAACCACTGCTGTCAAAACTTTGTGGATTGAGATTGGATTGGAAAACTTTACAAGTCTACCGTAGAGATATTAATGCAAACTGGACTAAGGCTGAGCACGTTGAACATTCAAAGACAGATGTGAGAAGAAAGTCTGGTGGTTTATGTGATAACTCATGATCAATCTAAAGCCAGTCTTTTGACAGAATAACCTATGAGAAGCAACACAAATGTTATTATATGGGCCTTCATTTGACATTTTGGTCTCTTGATACAATTGATATTCTTGTCTTTTAAAGTCATACCTTAGGGTTGACAGGTAAACTGGTCTCTGACAGGGCTCTTATTTCATTTTAAACGATAAACAAGAAGAAGAAGTCTCAAGGGTAAGACTATCATGCACTCTTACTGTAAGTCAATTTGACAAATGAGAAGCCATGCACACAACATTTGACAGCGTCGGTAAACAGGTGCAGCCTTGGATTGTATACTACATCATCGGCTCAACCATTTAAGACTAGCCCCAACCCACAAAATGTACAGGCTGAAAATGAACTGAGTCAATAAATAAATAAATAAACACCAAAAGCAAGCTTATTATTGTTCTCTCGCTGGAATTAGTAGGCCTCTGGATATGAATTACAAACGAGTTAATCCTGTCGAAGTCGTGCCATTTCAATGCCAGGACCTGTGGTAATAATGAGAGTGGTGGCTAATCAGTTGAACAGAGGAACGTATAATAGCTTTCAGAGAGGCCCTGCTCTCTGAGGGAGAGGGGGGTGACAGGTTTCAGGGCTGTTTTGACGTGACGATCTATAGTCGCACCATGCATACTGACAGCCTCCCTAATGGAGAGCGCATAGAGCAGAAGAAAAAGGGAGAAAAGGAGGCGGAGGGAGAGAGAGTCAAAGAGAGTCTGTGTGCGAGATACAGAGAGGGTGTGTTTTAGAAGACAGCTACGTTTGAGTCTGGAATTTGTTATTCTTTAAATATAAAATGCACCCAAAGATTACAGAGCAATATTTCAAAATAATTGATTTGCTGTGATTTAAAAGGGCTAAACCACCATTTTAAATCAAGAATACTACAAGGTGGAGGATACACTGCATATTTGTTACAGTCTGTGCATTTAAATAAAAAGAATAAGCAAAACAATGATGCACCTGAAATGTAAGTTACAAAAGCACACACATTAAATCAGCATGACACGCCATATTAAAAAATAACAAATGTTCTACTTGAGAAATGCAAAATGACCTTGCTAAAAGGAATTCACCATAATAATAAGAATAATAAATTATATTTATATAGCGCTTTTCTTGGAACTCAAAGACGCTTTACACTATGAAGGAGGGTAGACAAAACAAGGACAAGCAAAACTAAAAATATATAAAAAATATACAAAACCATTTTTAATTGCTCACTTAGTGGGTTGAGATTCACAAAAGCATCAGTGAAGGATGATCCAAACACTCTTCTTACTTCCATTCATGATAACAAATACAAATACATGTATAGACACTAGGCTTAAAACCCAAGGGTGACACAATATTCATGTATTTCCATTTTAGAAAATAAGTGTTATTTTAGGCTTCAAAGCAAATGAAACAATAATCGACTGCGACAAATGAGCATTTTCGGTAAAGCATGAAGTAGTAAGGATGGTCATGATGGAAGCAGCAGGGATGAGAGGACACAAAACTGGAGATCACAACAAAACTGTTCAAAAGAAACAGCAAGCATCTTTTCCAGTGGAGGCAGAGAGGTGGTCATTGTGTGTCGTCTGAGGAGATATCATCAGGCTGTCAGCTGATGCTCTCTTCACTCAGCGTGTGAGTTGTGTGATGCATGTCTGCAAGAAACGTTGGCAGCTTTCATGTGTGAATGTCAGCTGCTGCTCCGCTGTACAAGCCAACCCTCGCTCAGTGATTGATGTGAGCCTGTGTTGTGTCCTGCGCGAACACTTTCATTTATTTTCTGGCTCCAAACAGAGTCCAATCTATCAGCTGTGAAAGCCTGACCAGTGGTTAAACACAAGGAAGCATCCTTTGTTTCCTCACAGATCAATCATAAAGGACTGACAAATCCAGGGTTAAAGCTACATATGTGCTCTTTCATTTTAGCTGACAGCTGTTACAAACAATAGCGTGTTTCTTATTTAGTAGCAAACACTAATTTCATTAGACTTTAAAACATAGCCCCTAATAAAAGATAAGGTTTACAACACCATTTGTTTACAATGTGTCATTTTAGAGGAGTAGCTTGAGGTATTAAGACTCACTTGATTTCATAAGAGCGACATAATTAGCTGAGCCTCTTGTTCACCCTGTTTTTCTATTAAAGAGATTGAGAGTAAACAGCTCTAAAAAAAAACGTTAACACCATACACTATCACAGCTATGTCACTAACAATAAAAATGCAGGGGAAAAGTAACACGGTCTTTCTATCGCGTTGGTTGGGTCATAAGGAGGTCGGATGAGGCTTTACCGACTGCTCCTTGATAAAGATTATTGCTGATCCCAGTGAAGTGGGTCAGGCTGTGCCAGCTGACCATTTACAGCAGCAGTGGAGGTAGTGCTTTTAATCCATTATTCTGACTTAACACAAACAAGCATCTGCACCCGTCTTGGGTGTCGACAACTGCACTACAACTGCAGGTACATCCACTACTTTTATTGAAAAAACTTTACATCGAGGAGATTCAGAATTGTAGTTGACTGCCAATGAATAACCCTGAAAATGAAATAATCAACTCTACGTTTCAGTTCCAATTCATCCATTTTACACAGCAATAAGTTTACAAGCCAGCCCATCAACCACCTTGTTAAACTTCCATAAAGGTCTTGAACACACATTTTACCTGCCTCAAGAGTGTTCATTTACATTGAAGCTCCTACGCTCTGAATGTGCACCCAGCCACATCCCAGAGAAGTCTGACATGGCCTAATTGTGTCAAATCTCATTTAAACCAGCCTTTTTCTTCATGATGGCTTCACTGGTTCACGGGCTCATGGTCATTGCACCCATCCTTCACCTTGACTGATGAAAGTTGGCATTGCACCACCAATATTACATCAGTGTTCTCAGCGTGAACCGTGCGTACACTCATGCTTTTAGTGAGTACTTCTATTCTCCTGTGCCCTTGCCATTTTTGACTTTTTCAGTCAATCAGCATTTGACAGACCACTGCACTTAAAAGTTCAAAAAAGTAAGCATCATGCAGAAACAAAATGGTTTTGAATATGTCAAAGAAATATTCAAATTGAGAGGTCACGCAGAAGATCAGCATCGTTCTTGGAAGATCGAGAAAAAAGGCAGAAATGGAGGTTGCTTTGTCAGATACTAAATGCCATGAAAATGTCAGAGCGGAGTCCCTGCCTCCCAAAGGTCTTTTCTTTTCCTGATTCTAAGGTTTGTTAGAAATGCCAAATTGTATATGGTAAGATAATTCAGCTGTAACCTAATAAGATTCAAGATAATCAGACAGAGACTGGCTCCAACCGGTTCAATGGTAGTCTATTCTTCATTCTGCAAAGACACTGTTACTTATCCACTTAACCTTCACTTCAATTATGCTTCTTGAGGTCTCAGAGGCTCGATGCAACCACAGGGCTTGTGCATTTATGGTGTTTGTTGTGATGGCATTTGTTCTGCTCCTGTAATGGTCTGTGCAAATGTTCAATTTGTGTTCACATGGAACTCGAAGTTCACCCCTCTGTCCAGCACTACTTTACTCCACTATACCTTTAAATAGGAACTTGTTTTTCGGTGCTGTATTCATGCTCTGCATATCATACAGATAACCTTTGCGACACAGTGTGCTCATGCAGAGCTGGAGCTGAAACCATCTTTAGAGAACATGCGATGATCTGAAAAGACGGATGTTCAAAAGGAACAATATTATCAATGTGGATATTTGATTACCGGTGTCTCTTCATATATGTTGCCCATTATAATCGTAACCTGTTTTAAAATAGGAGGGGAAACATATGTATATGTCATTTTAATGAGCAGATAATCTTTTCTGTGTGAAAGAGATCAGATTTAATAAAGAAAATATTTTCATTCAACACATTAAAGGTCCCATGTCATGCTTTTCTGGTTATTACCCGTCCCCTTGTGTGTTATGTAGCTTTTTCTGCATGTAAACAGTCTGCAAAGTCACAAACCCTCAAAGTACACCCTGTAGCGAGTAAAACACAGAAAAGACCCGTCCATGCTGCCCCAGAACGTTTCGTTGGAGATTTTTCTTTTTCCATTTTTTTCTTCCGGAGTATGGTGACGTGACCATACCCAGGTCCAAATGGACCAATCCGTGGAGCTCCTCACTAACACACACTCACTCAGCCTTATCTTTTCTCAGCTGCGGCTCCGTGGATGTCTCAGCCTGAACTCAGCCTGAGACAGCGATACACTGCGAAACTCAGGCTGAGTTCAGGTGAGTTTCGCAATGTCTCGCTGTCTCGCAGACCCCACGCAGCAACCAGGAAACGACCCCAGTAATCCAGCTCACACTGTCCGCAGCAGCGAGCCCCGCAACGTCCCGCCAACACGGCACCCAGACCCCACGCAGCCTTCTCATCTGTTTGTCTGTTTGTCTAACGCCATTGTAACACATAATCACTGATGTTCCGCTGTAACGGTGGTTGCCTCATCAGAACAGAGTGGGCGAGCTGACCAATCAGAGCACACTGGGCTCATAGGCAGGGGGGGGCAGGAGCTCCAACAAGCCGTTTAGGACAGAGAGTGAATACACATACTATACAGAGATGCTGTATGAGAAACCAATGTGAGTTTGGAACATTGAACAATGTAAATCTATTCTAGTAGACCTCAACAATGGAATTATGATCAGACATTATGGTCTCATATTATGTTATTCATTGTACCATTCTGTTCAGCCTTTGCTATTTCTCTGTGGTATTTTTGCAGCAGAAAAGGAAAGGGAATGTGGAAGCAGTCCTTTGTATTTTTATTGTTATCAAGAATTTCCCATTTTGTACATTCTGAAAATACTAGATGTACATGAAGAATCCAACCTTAGATAAAATGCCCATTTTCTCATTTGATTTTCCAAGGCCAGAATTAAATTCAATCTTGTGTCACGTTTAGCACACTAAGCAGAATCTCAACCTCAAACTTTAAATTGTAATACTCAAATCAGCCGTAGACACACAGAATCTAAAGGAACACAGGCCAAACATGGTCCCTTTTATATGTCTGCAGACAAAGCGCATGAATATGTATACTCAAGTTATGAGGGCTGTGAAACAGCAGCTGATATGCTAAATTCTTCAAACCTGTCATGAGTAATTTGGCTTTCCACATCGCCCTGTCCTATTTTCTCTCCAAGTCCAGTTCCAGGTCAGTGGTCACAAGTCGGACCTAATTCGGGTAATTTTTCCGATCTGATATAATTTATTATGCTGTTTGGAGCATTCTCCCTCTGTTATCTGAAATGTGTACAGTTGAAAAATAAAACAGGCTTTGGAAAGACGTTGGCAACAGGAATTATTGCAGTTATTCAAACTATGTTTATGCTCAGGATAAATGTATCAGCTAATTTGATTTAGACTATCAGTATACTGTACTGTACTGTACTGTACTGTACGTCTAAGCTTTACTATTATTGACTACAATTCATGTTGAGTTGGGATATTTAAGCTTTAGAGTATGTCCTTTGTGTGACATATATGCCACCAAACAATTCATAATAATAATAATTCCTTATATTTATTATAGCACTTTTCCAGAGCTCAAAGCGCTTTACAAATACACATTACACACATATCATACATGTAACGGTCATGTACTGTGGACAATACCCACAGACGCAGCGGCGGCGGAGGCGGGTTTCGAACTGGTACATACAGTAGGAGTTGTGTGTTATAACTTTGGTGAAAAGGTTGACTTTTCAATGTTGATTTTTTTAATTAGGTGTTCATTTTATTTCTAGTATTTTAGTTTGTGTGAAAATCCCTTCTCAAAATGTGTTTTAATGTACAGGGGTTTTTGTGAGAGTTAGTTTAACAGTAGCATGTAGTAGATATATATTCAAAGTATATATGCATGCACATGTGTATTCACGTGTTTACGCTACTATTTTCTGACTAACTGATTAAAGTCTGAGATTACACTAAGCTTTTAGCATTCCAACAACAAACTGTTTTGATTTTCTGGGTATTATGTCTTATCTAAACAAATCATTCTTGGTTTAACCCATTTGATCTCGAATAAACCAGCATAGATTAATATCAATGAAAGAATTATAGACAAAGACAATTAGATGCTAAGGATTCACTTAGAGTAGTGTGTCTGTTTTCAGTTGCAGTACTTCACCAGGATGTGAAGTGACATTTTAATTATATCACTGATGAAGATAAATCAGGTCCGTGTTTACTGTTGTCCTCTGTGGTCTTGCTTTTGTAATAAAACTCTTGTTGTATTAGTTATTTCAGTAATGAGATGCAGTATTCCTCAATATCAAATATGGTCTCTAAGGAAAGGAACTGTCTTTATGATAATTCACAGATCTTAACTTTACTTCCGATTACAAACACTAAGAGCTGCGAAAGAAACCCACTTGATGTGTTCATAAGGAAATGAATACATTACATTTAGACTGAAGCTAATGGCATGCATTTAAGGATGCAATGCAGTCTACTTCAGATAAAAGACCATTTTGAGATGTTGAAATGGTTGTATATTAACGATACTCTTAAGTTAATGGATTATAAAGTAAAAGCTTCATATACAATCGGAGAGATTTTCAAAAGCAGTCATATAAATTACCTTCCACAAAACACTCAGGTATTCACAAAAGGCAATCAAGTGAAAGCAATCATGGGACTGAATTGGAATTTGATGTTCTGAAAATAATCTCTAAACTCTGCACCAGAGAAATGCAAGATATTTCTTATGAGTCCCACCGTTTACAGAGGTTTCAATAGGCCTGCCTTTCGAACTGAAATACCTAATGATATAATCATCAGTGCTGCTGACCAGGCATGATCAGCGAGGCCACACAAGTATCAGAGTCAGTGGTAATGAAGGTAAGAAGGGGGCATGGCCAAGATTTAGAAAGTACAAGAGCTTTCACCCTCCCTCTCAGACCCACAAACATACACACACGACGGGAAATCACGTTTCCAAGCATACAAAATTCCCACCTGCTGAAGTTGGTTCCTCACCATCTGCTGCTGTTGAGAGACAGAGACAAGAGACAAAGAGAGATAAAATATGTTAGTGTTTCACAATAATGTCACAGTATTCAGTGTGTCAGCTGCATTCAACAGTGTAGTTTCAACTATATATATAAATATATAATTGATTGCGTTGTGCACAACCATATGTGCAGTAAGATTGTACATGTACAGTAATCCAAGGGAGCATACAGTTTGTAAAGCCAGACACACCTGCTACCTGTAGGGTACAACATTCTGCCAAGACAAATACTCCAGACTGCTAACATGAAGCGCAGCCTGGCACTTTGTCACAGCCCATCCCCCATTTATACAATTCTACAACGCTATGCCCTGATTGGTGGCCTTTGACTAATGTGTGTTCATCATTCTGGACCAGTGTAGGATTAGCCCCTGTGGCATACATACGTGTGCTCTGCATCCCGGGTTCCTAAACCCTAGTCTAGCTCTGTGGCTGAGTTTCTGCCCATCTGGCGTCATTACCGCAGCTCTCAATCTCTATCATATCTTGTCAAATTGCTCCTCAAATGGGCCTGGAAGTTGGACACCGCAATAAAGGCAAAAGACCAAGGGCATCAGATGCATGGGATGACAAATAACAATTTGCCAGTTTTGTTAATCAAGAGATGTGTTACAAGATGAACCAATTCCCTTGGATGTGTTTGGTAGATGATGTATTGGGATGTGAAGCATGTCTATTGCAGTGTCTAATGATACTGCTGCCCACCGATGAGCATGCTAGCTTGATTAAAGTATGATTCAATGTCATGTACATGTTTTCATTCTAAGCATTGCATACTAATTGGGTATTAACATAATATGGAGAGGATTAAGGCCATATAGATCATGAGGCAGACAGGGAGACAGTTATTGATGCCAGTATGTCAAACAACTGCAAATGCATCCAAACGTATTTTAGAAAACTAATCATGTCTGATTTCCAATAATAAAACTGTGAAACGTGCAAAAAGCTGTTTAATCTCAACTCCAAAAACATCAGTGCTCCGTCACTTTGAATCCCCGTGGTGTCTTTGATAGGAAAATAAAATCACTTCACAAAGTGCTCTCAGAGGGTTTTAAAAATGTAATATTGCCAATCTTATTTAATGTGCTACCTTATGGTTCTGTATTCATTGCATCTTCTAAATGTCTAGCAAGACAAGCTGAGTTGACTGTTTTGACAAAGTTAGGACACCCCTGAACCAAATTATTTCAAATAAGACAGCAGTCGTGAATCATTCCTCAGCAGCTGCAATATGAAGGGGAAATAGATTAACTTAGACTCCACTGTGATAAACAATATTAAAGAGTGGATCGCAGCCTCTAACACTTCTTCAACTGTGAGAAAAAACCCAAATTGAAGTCAAAAGGAGCCAAGGACTTTCCCAACCTCTCATCTGGCAGTGGATGGTCCCCTTTGTGTTTCCCCATGCACATTGGCCAATGTAATCACAAAACCAAGCACATTCCACGCTTCACTTAGTGTGGTTTTCTCTCTGCCATTTCCTCTGCTCTCTTACCATAGGGGTCAAGACACATAGCCCACAGACACACACGGTATATAGTTTACACACATAATAACATTCTCAAAGACAAAAACATGCCTCTGAGTGCAGACAACTGTTCACACCCACACATAAATACACATGCTGAGAAGATACAGTCATAAAAGTTAGTTTTTCTTTGTTGTATGTGTTGATGTGGTGAATCATAAGAAACACTGAGCTTTAGTGGTGCACCACACTGTGCTGGAAACATGTATGTCTTCAATTGTTGGGATTCAACACATCACACAAATGATTTCCAATTAAAATGAATTTATTGTTGTCTGACATGAGAAAATGTACCACCCATTTAATTAATAGTTACGAAGATGAGAAGACCGTTTCCAAAATAATTAAACAACACTCTTGTAAGTACTTAGTTGGTTGCCATTATAGGGTAAATGTCTCAGTCGTGCAGACATAGCGGCTGAATGTGACAAACAAGAGATGAGGAGGCAAACTGGATGTTTGCTTGTTTTCACTTTGCTGAACAATTTGTCCTTGCAAAGGCGTACAAGCAGAGATAATGTGACAATGTTAGAGCAATACCTTTTAAGCGGGAAGGCATGGTGGGTCTGACCCTGATGTTGAAACCAGACACATCTGATGTGATTACTTATAATATTGTGTTGCAAAGCCACGAAAGAACAAGAACAAAATATCACATAACTCACTACGAAGATAATAGGAGAGTGGTTATATGCTGTACACCCAATAAAAAGACAAAGAAACCTTCAAATCTAACATCTTTTAATTTCCCTTCCCATAAAAGTGGTCATCAAAGCAAAACCAGCACATTTTCCTCAGCAGTACGGCTATAAACAGATCTATAATGAATCGTGAAAAAATTATGATTTACCACTTGGGTGTACTTGCCTTATACTGTATAAGAAAAACTGCTGTAACATAAACCATAACATTAAGTCGTCAGTTCAGTTTAATGTCTATCATCAAAATGTTGCGAAAACCAAGCCCCATCCATACATATCAAATGTAAGCATATCTAACATTATACGTTGTACCTTCCTTCTCTACATTATAAAAACTAAACCATTAAAATGACAAATGAGTTTAATCAACTGAATATGTCACATGCAATTTCTACAGGAGTGTATGCTCTCTTACAGGTGCCGTAAGTGTGAGAAAATGAATAGACCAATGTTATCAAGACTGATAGATATATTCAGTAGATAAAGACACAGACAGCGAAGGGCATTACCTAACATATTGTCCCATTTCATACAACAAATACTTGGCACATTGATGCATCTTGAGACTACACCAATACATTTGTAAAACATAGAGGGATCTGGATGACATGACTTATTTAAATGGCCCTTGCTCCTTCCCAGAAGAAGGTCCTCTCTGTTTCACGAGGAGCCGCCATCGTGCTATATATTGGTTCAAACTGACAGACAGCTGCAAGGCAGTAATAACCATCCATAATCTAAATGGGAAGCAGCCAGCCTGTCCAGCATAGGGCTGCTGTGACCTCAAGGTGTTCAGTGTAGATAGAGGGCCGCTGCACCGAACATACACACACAGTAAACACACATGTATACGTAAGGTATCGGGTACATATACAGATGTACCATGACAGGTTCGGGATGTAGGAAATGTGTTTGTGTAATATTTCATTTTGCTCCTTTCATTCATCATTGGCAGAAGCTTTGACTTTGTCTCTACATTACGGCTGACTGGGTATGCCTTTTAACAGCAATCTTTACGTTTACGCACACTCACACCCAATCACACAGTATAGAATGCATGATATCAAAAACACAATATGGGTAAATAGTGTATAAAGCCAATATATATATATACCAATAGAATCTTGCATCTCGTTTTCCACGATAGTGACCTTGTGAGTCATTTAAGAAACCTATTAATCGAAACATAAAATGCTGAACATTTGAATGATTCATGCACTTGTGCAACCTCATTCTATTCAATACAATAATGAACCAATATGCGTACGAGTCTAATTAAATTGCACAGAAGGGAGTAGAAAGGCTTGTTGCTAAGGTTGATGACACACACCATGGTATATATATATAAAACGTCTTAATTCGTATAGTCAGGGGTGCACATAACTGGTACGCAGGTACGCATGCGCGGCAACAATCTGAAATGCGTACCGTCACTTGTGTCACAAAGCGCATTTGCGTACCGACGTACTTGTGAAGCTTTTCTAGAAGGCGGTTAGATCACCGGACGACAAAGTCGGTCTCCGTGTGCACAGACAGGGCTGCTGTTAACGACGGTCTGTACAACGGAATTGTGCCAAAACTACGCCAACCGTAGTTGGCGTTCGCGATACAGAGGGCTTCATCAAATAACTTTGAGTGGAGCCAGAAGTTGGAGTACCAAACACTGACTCCAGGTACTCATCCGAGTACCTCACTGAGAAAGTTATGTGCACCCCTGCGTATAGTAAAGGCTATGCGGTCAAATAGGACTGCATGTTTACCAGTGAAATTGTTGTTATTAAAAAGAAACCTTTACCAAACTCCATCACCCAAGTTTCAATTGAGCAAGGCACCTTTCGCACAATCCTCCCTTGGTGTTGTATAAAAGCGGCACACTGCTCCAAATACTTGAATGGGTTAAATGCAGAGTACATTTCACCGTGTGAGCAGAGCTGTGTGTGTGATGATTACATCGTTTTTCATTTGAATTATACATTTCCAAAGTGATTAAAAACAGATTTGCTCAGGTTTCTTATACATTATTTTGATTTAATACAAAATAAGGCAAGGAAGAGTCCTCCTCCCTACATCCAAACATACAGTATGTGCTGTACAGTATGGCATTTTGAGTCAATGGCAAGATTTATTGTAATGCATCACCAATGGTTTCATAGATGTCAACCGGTCCATGTGATATATGTGTTTGCATACGATGCCAAGAAGAACATGGTTGACTTGAAATGAATTGGAGTGTGAAATGCATTTGGATCACCTCTGATGAACCATGTGATCATGTGACATTCAGAAATGGTATTGGAGAAGGTGAGAGTAAAGAGAGAAACACCCTAAGACCACAGAAAGGAGTGTTGTAGATCAGCATATAAGGTCAGTTATGTAGAAAATGATGGACTTCACTGTATCACACAAGTCAAAGTAGAACAATAAATAATCAAATGTTACAACAAAAGCTGTAATAAAAGAACATGTTTGGTTCTGTGCGAAAGATTCACAATAAAAAGTGTTTCATCTGGTCTGTGGTTGTGTTAAGTTTCTTTGTCTTTGATGAAGCCATCTTACTTTTCAACAGGCGAAAGCCCCACTTCAAGAATGCGCTACTTTCTTCTCTTACCAACATCACTTGAGGGGACACAATAGCGATGACATGCAGGAGTTAGTGTGAACACTGTTTGTATCGTGGAGTTTTATTACATTTTCATTAAAGAGACAAATAGATATAATTCCAAGAAATATTTGCCATTAGGTG